ACATTTTCTCTCAGAGTTTTTAACTCTTAACAATTTAAAATTCATATCTGAAGGGATCAGAGACACTTAACAGTTGTAAGAGTTACCTCAAGGATACAAAGACTTAGACACCCACCCATCCACACACCCACACACACACAAGGACACAGAGAGGAAAACAAAACTCTGAGTTTACACACACACACTGATCATTCCCACAATAAATCTCTCAGTTAAATTGGGGAAGGCACAAATCTTAAGGAACAAACCACATGATTGCATAGAAGACAGAGATGCAGAAAGAAAGAAAAAAATCCCATGTGATCCTGTTTATATATTGCCCTTTTCTTTCATTTTTCTTTTTTTTAAAGTACCTTTATTTAGACACATTGGTCTTCCTGTATCCCTCATCAAAGCCCATTCTCTACATATACATTTTGCTTTTTTTTTTCTTCATCCCAGCTAGGGTCGGCATCTGCCGCTCATCCCAAGCCTCCAACAACTCTCCCAGGGGGGGTTCCACTAAGGACCCTCGAACTACCGCTTCCCATGTTTCCCCTTCTGATGTGGGCTTCTCACACTTTGGCTTAGTCGGGTCAACAGGCTATCAGTTTGCAGACAGAAAAAGGTGTCTAGGGGAGATTTTGGTTCCCTATTCAAAGTATGCGCACTCCCCTCAGAGGGAACTCTCAGGCCACGGTTTTTGGACTGGGGGCAAAACAATATGTGAGAACTTACCATCCCCAAGAAAGACAGTCCGGGAGGACTTGCTGCCCCCAATAGACAAATACTGGCGCTCCTTCCTCAGGCCTAGGTTTTTGGATTTGGAAGAGCTCAAATCCGGGAGGACTTGCTGCTCTTTGCAGGCAAGTTCTGGCGCTCCTACTACTTCACAACTTTCTAATTACCTAAAATCCTGAGGTTTGCTCTTGGGATACACTGGACAAAAAGCAACATAAGTTCTCTTCCCTCCTTTCAATCATAACCCGCTTGGCTTTTCTCTCTTATTGGTCCCACACTCCTTGCTTTTCCTGTCCTGATGGTCATGGCTAGAGGCCAAACAAAGAAATGAGATCCAGCTGCTGTCCAAGGGTGAAGCCACTCTCACACACACACTCTTCCTCCTTCTCTAACAAAAGGTCCTGTGCTCTGAAAATGCTAAACATAACTTTTTTTTTTGAAAATGCAAATAAGTCAGGAGATGAGAAAGGAACTTTATACTACCAAAATGAGGATAAAAATAATAATTCGAGATTGTTATGAAAACCTGTATGACCAAGAAAAAGTTTCAGAAGAGAAAATTAAACAATATTTGGTAAAAGCGGAATTACCTAAAGTACCAGAAAAGGTAAAAACTATGTTAAATGGACGAATATCAATGATGGAATTATCAGAAGTGATCAGGAGACAAAAGAATAATAAAACACCAGGGCCAGATGGGCTGCAGGGAGAATTTTACAAATGTTTACAAGATACCTTAGGCCCATCAATGTTGGAAGTCCATAATAAAGTATTGAACTGATGCAAAGGTACCAAATTCGTGGATGAAAGCAAATATTACTTTGATTCCAAAAGAAGATTCAGATTTAATGCAGATAAAAAACTATAGGCTCATAACTTTATTGAACACTGACTATAAAATATATGGTTCAATAATGGCAGAGAGTAAAAAAGTTTCTAAATGAATTGATATATTCAGATCAAAATGGCTTTTTGCCTAAGAGACAGATTAAAACAATATGAGAATAATTTTAACTACAAAGGCACTATCGTAAATGGAAATAGGATCATAAATGGAAATAGGACAGAGAATTTTAATATAAAAAGGCACAAGAAAAGGATGTCCACTATCTCCTTTACTATTCATATTGACATTGGAAATGCTAAATAGAAATATTAGACAAGACATAAAAATTAAAGCTATGGAAATAAAAAGGGAACAATATAAATTATAGGCATTTGTAGAAGATTTGCTTTTTATCTTGGAAGACCCACAAGAAAATGGACTCAAGATAATTAGGAAAATAAAAGAATAAGGTGAAATTGCAGGACTGAAAATAAATAAAGAAAAAAAATCAAAATAATTGTTTACAGACATACAGAAAAAGAACTAACAAGGAAAATAGGTATATAGATAATCAAGAAAGTTGTTATAAATTGGCGCAACCAATTAAAACAAATTTGGTTAAGTGGAAAAATCTACAACTACTGTGTTTCTCCAACAATACGGCCTCCCCCAATAGGAAGTCCCAGCATGTTTTATAGGCATAAAATGAAATTAAGTCCCTCCCCCCAAATTAAGGCCTATTTTAAAACATGCAAAATGGGGGGAAGGGCGGGGGGCTTGCCGTTAAGAGTGCCCTGTGGGCAGCCATGCCTCGCCACCAACCTCCCTACTGTCGCCAAGTACTTTTGCTGCACACCCAGGTATGGTGCTGCCTGCGTTGACCTCGGCGTTGGTGGGGCACTTCGTATCGGGAGACCTTCCGCCAACGTTGCTTTCCCTTCTCCCCGTGCTGCCGCCGCGGCATTTGGCACAGCATGGCCTCCCTGTCCGCAGACGGGTGGGCGCTATCACTGCCTCAGGCGGCCTCTCCTGCTGGCCCCTTCGGTGTTAGGCTGCAGGGACATGGGAAGCCAAGCTCCGGTTGGCCCGGCTCTTTCGCTTGGCAGGCAGGCGCGCACCCGCTGCTCGCTTTTCTGGCTCTGCCCAGCCCGCCCGGCTCCGACTCTGCCCCTCAGCCTAGGCGTCTTTTCGGGGCTCAAAAAAAAAAAAAAAGACCCGGCCTTATTATATGAGAAACACGGTAGTTTGTGCCTAAGGCAGGACTAGAATTCACAGTCCCCTGGTTTCTAGCATGTTGCCAGAACATTACATAGTTCTAAATGATTCTGTGTAGGAAAAGTTTAAAGTGTTGTTAACTGAACTCTTTTCACTTATCTATTGTAATGGATTTTACAATGTGTTTTAGTTTTTCTAGTTTTTTGTTTCATCGTTTTTAAGTTTTTTTTTCCTTCAAGGCAAACAACATTATGCCAAGTTCAAAAAGACTTGAGAAATAGCAAGCTAAATGATCTAAGGTTAGAAAAAGCAAAAAGTAGATAAATCTTGTCTATACCATTACAGGATCCTTCCTTCCACCCTGAATCTACCTTCATTTATATCCTGGCTTCTGTTCTTTAAACTTTAGTCTCTCTGAGGGTCTCATCAATTCCTCCCAACCCTCCTTTTCCTTTTCACACATTAATTCTACTTTCATTTGGTCATTCTGCAATTTGATTCACATTCTTTCTCTCCCAATTTTTTTTTCATACCTTTAAACCGGTTTCTTGGCAACAACTGTGTTGACTGGTCCCTGCAGTCCTTCTTCTCAGCAAGATTTCCAAACTGGTTTGCCATTACAAGTAGACCTCAACTTGCCACCAAATTTGGGACCGCAATTTCTCTTGCTAAGCAAGGCAGTTTTCAAGGAAATCATGGTTGATTTTTGCCAAGGTTGTTAAGTGAATCAGCCCAGTTGTTAAAGTGAATCAGGCTGTCATTAAGTAAATCTGCTTCCCCCATTGACTTTGCTTGTTGAAAGCCAGCTAAGATGGTCGCAAATGATGATCAAATGATCAGTATAGAGCTGGAAGGGACCTTGGAGGTCTTCTAGTCCAGCCCCTATATTCAAGCAGGGAGATCATATACCATTTCAGACAAGTGACTGTCCAGTTTCTTCTTTAAAAACTTCTAGTGATGAAGCAACCACAACTTCTGAAGGCAAAGCTGTTCCACTGGTTAATTGTCCTCACTGTTAAGACGTTTTCCTTAATTCCAGGTTGCTTCTCTCCTTGATTAATTTCCATCCATTGTTTCTTGTCCTGCCTTCTGGTGCTCTGGGGAATACCTTGACTTCCTCTTCTTTGTGGTAGCTCCTGAGTTATTGGAACATCATTTCACCCCTGGTCCTTCTTTTCATTAAACGAGACATACCCACTTCCAGCAACCATTCTTCATAATGTTTTAGCCTTCAGGCCTTTAATCCTTTTAGCAGCTCTTCTTTTCTTCTTCTGTATCAGGAAATACAGGCCTGTTGCCAAGAGTCTGGATTCTGATCACATGACCAGGAGGATACGACTGTTGTTGTGGGAAGTGGTCATAAATCACTTTTTTCAGCATCCCTGCAACTTTGAATCAATTTTAAATTTTAAATCAATGCTTCTAAGTGAAGGACTAACTGTGATTAGAGGTACTGGAATGGTCAGAAGCATTTAGAATCTGAAACAGAAAAAAGTATCAGAATTGTTGATTTGTTTTAAGTTTCGTTTCTCCTCCCACCACCTCTTTTAGTTTCTTTTTCCTAGAGTTTATTTAAAAAAAAAAAGAGCACGCCCACCTGGTCACTTCCTTTGAAAAAAACTATCGAGGAAAAAAGGGTAATTCCCTTTAGTTTTAAAACACAAAAGCAGGAAGGCGCTCACGGGCAGAGTTTATTGCATCTCTGCAACGAAAAACCAAACGAGGAAGAAAGAAGAAGAAAAGGTTTGAAATCTTGCTTTCTTTGAAATCTTTCTGCCTTTTGTTTTTTATATTTATTCTAAACTAATAGTTTTCCGAATTTTTATCTCCCTGGATCCAATTGGCGTGTTGAAAGACCCGTCTTGCACAATCTGAATCCTCATTTTTTTTAAACTTGGGGGGAAGGAATAAGAATGGATTCCTAAAGTATATAAAGATAATCCTTTTTGCAGAAGAAAGCTTAAGAAGTGACTAGGATAAATTAAGTGTCCAGTTTCAAATCCGCCCCCTTTGCATCTTCCTAGTGCCTAAGTTTTTGAAATGCTTATTTTTATTTATTGAATATCCGTGCTGCCTATTTAAACATCTATACTGTATTTAAAGGGGAGAAACAAGAATGGAATAGAATGGCAATAGCAATAAAGGGGAATGTTACATTGCAAAGAATGTGAGTCCTCATTTTTTAAATTTGGGGGGGAAATAATGGATTCCTAAAGTAACACAAATATAAAGATCATCATTTTTGCAGAAGGAAGCTAAGAAGTGACTAGGAAAAAATATTTCATTCCTAATTCCCATCCTTACATCTTCCCAGTGCCCAAGTTTTTAAAATGCTTATTTTTATTTATTGAATATCCGTGCTGCCTATTTAAATATCCATACTGTATTTTAAGGGGAGAAACAATGGAATGGCAATAGGAATAGGAATAATTAGAATAGAAATAATTAGAATAGAATAGAAATAAAGGAAAAGTGTAGTGTTGGAAGAATTATCCTTCTGGGTTCAGTTTCAAGTGGGGAAAAAGACACTGGAAACATGGAGGCTGTTTGGAAAGATGGTTTAATGGTGGACAGGACCACATGGCTTGGAGCTCCAAAGTGAAAAGGACGATCACATGCTTCAAGATAGGGAAGGAAGTTGCTGATATGCTAAGAGTGCCTGGGTTTTATACCCTCTGTTGGGATTTGAATTTGAGCTTGTATTCTGATTGGTTGTCAGACTCCCATGGGGCCATGCAGGGGCAACTCTGTAGGCTGTCCTGAGTCTCAGGCTTGGTTGAGCCTGGCACACAATATTTCCTCTAAAAAGAGTAGAAACTCAGAAGCAGAAACTTCAGAAGTTGTAAATGCTCCGACACTGGAAGTTTTTAAGAAGAAATTGGACAACCATTTGTCTGAAATGGGATAGGGTTTATTGTCTGAGCAGGGGGTTGGACTAGAAGACCTCCATGGTCCCTTTCATCTATTCTATTCTATTCTATTCTATATTCTGTTCTTATTCCTATTCTACCCTACCCTATTCTATTGGTAATCCTTGATCTATGACCACAATTGAGCCCAAAATTTATGTTGCTAAATGAGACATTTGTTAAGTGAGTTTTGCCCCATTTTACGACCTTTCTTGCCACATTTCTTAAGTGAATCAGTACAGTTGTTAAGTTAGTAACACGATTGTTAAGTGAATCTGCCTTCGCCATTGGCTTTGCTTCTCAGAAAGTTGCAAAAGGATGAGGCCAGGACACTGCAGTTAAATCTGTATATACTGTATGTTGCAAAATGAAAGTATTTTTGCCAAGTTTACTTACTGGCGGTTTTATTTCGCAACATCTGTGTGCGAACTGCAGTGATTCACTTAACAAATATGGCAATTAGTACTGCCAATAGAATAATAGGATAGGATAGGACAGGACAGAACAGAATAGTTGAAAGGGACTAGGGGGGTCTTTTAGTCCAACTTGGCTCAGGCAGGAAACACTATCCCAGTGATGGCTAACCTTCAAGTTTGGTTTGGTTTGGATTCCAGGACATTCCATTATAAAACTGAACTGTGGAGAAATGTATGAACATATTACCCTCGGACTATTTAAAATAAATAAACTGATTAACTTTGCGACACAAAGATCCCTGGACGTTGGATTTATAGCTTGAAATGTGAAGTTTGGCTTATTGTTGGACAATTGGGGCAAGAAAAGGAATAAATAAGAATAAAGATGAGTGGAATTTCTTCTTCATTCTAGATTGTTTCTTTCCTTGATTAGTTTCCATCCATTCAAGAAGAAAACCTGGTTTGTCTATGGCCATGAAGGCTATGTGCTGCTTACAATATGTGACAATCCTAGACCAGGCCAAATCCAAAAATACCCGGGAATTTCTAGATGCCTGGCACTCTGACATATCTGCCATCAATAGACACAAATTAACAACATCTATAGCAGAGGTGGTATTCAGCAGGTTCTGACCAGTTCTGGAGAACCGGTAGCAGAAATTTTGAGTAGTTCGGAGAACCGGCAAATACCACCTCTGACTGGCCCCGCCCCCATCTCTTCTCTGCCTCCCAAGTCCCAACTGATTGGCTGGGTCTTCTTTGGTTGCCCTGCACAGGAGAACGGAGCTGGAAAGCAGGTTAGTGGGTGTGGGGAGGGAATGGGATTTTGCAGTAACTTTCTCCCAGGAGTGGGGAGGGAATGGGGATTTTGCAGTATCCTTCCCCTGCCACGCCTACAGAACTGGTAGTACAAAATTTTGAATCCCACCACTGATTTATCGACTATGCAAAAGAGGCCATCAACCAGCCCAAAACAGAACAAAAAGACTCCAGCATCTCTCCACAAGCAATCAGCACCCAGATCAGCGTAGATTAACTCCAAGGTTAACATCAAACCAACATGGGAAAACAAACACATCAGGACCCACCCACCTGGGCTCTTACCTGATCTTTATTTCCTGATTTTTCAACTTCAGCTGCCGAACAAAAAAACAAGAAAAGAGGGCTGTTTCAAAGGCTGCTTCTCTGCAGGCAGGGTGCTGATGACGATTTACAGGCGTGCAGCCTGCAGAGAAGCATGTCCTGTTGTATCCCACAACATCACCTGTTGTATCCCACAACATCATCTGTCTCCAATCTACAACACAGTCATTTCAACAGTTCCAAGAAGGCACCACAAACAGCACTCTTTACTAGCATTGATGATGTTATCTAGTTTGGGTAATGAAATGTCTGCATGAAAACAAACAAGCTCAGAGAGCACCAAGGATCCCAAAATAGAATAGAATAGAATAGAATAGAATAGAATAGAATAGAAAATAGAATAGAAGAAAAGGACGTTGGAGGTGTTGGAAATAACTCAAAGCCAACAAAAAAAACTTGGATCATTGAAAGCAAAGAGGATTTATTAAAAAGAAATAACAAGACAGTTTGCAAAGCATCGGTGGTCTTTAGGACCTTAACAAGCAGGTTCTAAATCAAAAGCCACACCTTCAGAACCTCAAAACATACTTTATATACAGTTTCATCTGGTCACCCAAGTTCCCTCCTTCTTGAGACTCATTCCCTCTCAAGTTCAAGCTAATTGGATTTGCCCTCAGGTGTTGCAGCTAATTTTAGGATGTCTCTAGGGAGAATTATCTCCTTCCGTTGTGTTTTCATCTGTACCCCTCCATATCTCTAGCTTTGGCTGCCCACGAGGCATCTTTCCTTAGCGTTAAGGAATGTAGCATCCCTTCATCAGGGCCTCTTTCTAAGCTCATCATATACTACCATTTTTCCAAAGAGAGTATAACAAACCCCACCAAACATAATAACAATATAAAAGGCATATTCATAAGATACAAATATAAAAAGGCTTAACAATGGAGCATGTCAAAAGTATAAAAGCAAAGCATGTATATACAGGGAGATATATTTCATTTGATAACAGATTAATAGAATTGGAAGGGACCCCGCAAGGTCATCCAGTCCAACCCCCCATTTGTAAAACCTTTAAGCATCTTATATACTATTTTATTTTATTTTACTTATTTCTAACAGAGGTCTTCTAGTCAACCCTCCTGTTCAGGCAGGAAACTCTATCCCATTTCAGACAAATGGTTGTCCAATCTCTTCTTTAAAACTTTCAGCGTTGGAGCATTGGCAACTTCTGGAGACAAGTGGTTCCACTGCTTCATTTTCTCAACTGTCAGGAAATTTCTTCTTTGTTGTAGGTTGCTTCTTTCCTTGATTACTTTCCATCCATTTGAGATGAAAACCTAGTTTGTCTATGGCCATGAAGGGTCTGTGCTGCCTGCCCTATAAAGACACGCTGCAGGTATTAAATGATCCTCCTCCCCCCCCTTACAGTTGTCCCTGCAAGATTACTTTAAGAGAGCCAAATTTCAACAAACTTGCAGAGAGCTTGGGAAGGATCCCATGGATGAGAATCCTCAAGGGAAAAATAACTCATGAAGCTTGGGAAATTTTGAAAAGTGAGATTATAAAAGCCCAGTCTATAAACTGAGAAAGTGGTAAGAAAGTGACAAGCGTCAGAGAGAAAGCAGAACTACTTATAACTTGCTTTTGGCATCTTTACACAAAGGGAAAAAACAGTCCAACCTATCAAAAACAGTACCGTAAAAAACAGATTAGGAGCACAAGTTAAAATAGGCAAGGAAATGGTGAGCACCTGTCCACCCTAGATGAGTTTAAATCACCGGGACCAGATGGATTACACACCCAGGTTCTGAAGGAGCTGGCAGACGTGATCTCAGAACCATTGAACTATACCGAAGATCCTGGAGCACCAGGAAACTACCAGAGCACTGGAAAAGAGCTGATATAGTTCCCACCTTCCAAAAAAAAAAAAAAAAAAATAGAAGGGGAGGGAAATAGATCCTGGAAACTACAGACCTATCAGCCTGACCTCAATTCTTGGAAATATTCTGAAAAAGATATCAAGTAATCAATCGGTGAACAGATTAGAGGCGAACAAAGTTATAACCAAAAGCCAACATGTGTTTGTCAAAAACAGATCGTGCCAGACAAATCTTACTGCATTCTTTGACAAAATGACAAAGTTAGTGGATCAGAGAAGTTTCAAGTTTACAAATTTCAGGGACGAGAACCAAGGGAGGAAAAAGCAATTGGCTGAGTGCAGCGGGAGCCACTCTTTCAAAACGTCAGAGGACAATTGGACATTCAGTATGGCTCTGTCCCAGGTTGAGAGTTTAAGATTCTCGCAATACTAATTTGTGTATCAGAAAGACTTCATCCAGAATCGAATCTAGCAACCTGTCTTGCCCCTGGTGGAGACTGACTCTGAGGGAGAGGAGGAACAGCCGACAGGGAGTAGAAGTGTGGCTCCGGAGGTCCTGGAGGAGCCTGGGGAAGGGCAGAGGCCGCCTGGGCAGTCAGAGGAGGACCCAGGCCCATTCCCTCTGCATCCTAGGGCACGCAGGGAGGAGAGGATAAGGGAGAGACGTGGTCTACTCAGGAGGAGAGGGCCTTGATCCTCTTCATGGGCTGCAGCGGTGACAACTGAATGTACAGACCTGCAAAGCATGGAAATAACTCTAGTTTATGGTTCCTCTCTGAGTTTGGCGTCCTTCCCAATGTGTGTTTTCTGTGGACATCCTCCAGCCCTTATCTTGCCTGGTTTGTGTTGCTTTTTCCCTTGTAACTGTTTGCGTGGGAGTTTTTTGGCTTCCCGTCAAGAATATTCAGAGCTTGGAAGCAAAGTGAAGGAATAAAAGGGGCTTCACCTGTTTTCTGTGACTGTTAGTTTTGTATCCCACCCTGGGTCATCACACAGCCAGATTCCACTCTGTGGCGTTGGGACTGACATCACCTACCAAGCCTGTTCATTAATCTCTTCTCTTTTTACTATTTGCTATTTACAAAGTCTCCACTAATATTACTATTAATCTTCTCATCACTCCTTATCACCCATCTCCTCCCACTTGTGACTGTATCCTTATGATTTATATTGACTGTTTCCTAGTATGATTTGATTGCTTATTGTATCCTATGACTATTATTAAGTGTTGTACCTTAGGATTCTTGATGAATGTTTTTTTCTTTTATGTACACTTGAGAGTACATTGCACCAAGACAAATTCCTTGTGTGTCTAATTACACTTGGCCAATAAAGAAATTCATTCATCCATCCATTCATTCATTCAGAGTCTCTTCTTTCTTTTTCTTAGAATATTGTCCACAATGGATTATCAGCCAATGGTTGTCACTCAGCCACAGGTGGTGGTAGCAATCCAGTCCAACAGGACCTATTGGCAAACGGACTTATGTGACTGCTGTAGCGACTGTGGAGTCTGTAAGTGACCGGGCCAATTACTGAAAGTGGGGTTCTCAAAGCCTTCTTGGGAAGATTGGGCTGAATATCCTTCCAGACTGGATAGGCTGCAGAAATCCATTGTTCCTTATAATTTCAGCAATAGATGTTTGATTATTGAACAGCCTATTGGATTGGAATTAGGATGGCAAGATATAAAAGGAGACAATGTGGCTTCTATACTATTAAAAGTTGTATATGGACCTTTTAAAAGTTCTACATGAAGGAGATGAGCATGCTGAGCCCGAGGGTGGGGTCAAACAAACCATCAGCTTGGAGTCCCTATGCTCCCACAGAAGATCTAAATCCAGCCCCTCCCCCAATGATTTCTGTTGACACTTAGCGCCAATCTGCCTTGACCATTAGTAGATCTGATTCTTGTATAAAGCAGGAGGTAAACTCTATTCTGGCACCTGGTTTCTTGTGCCTGATGCTACACAACTGAAGAATTATGGGGAAAAAAACTGTTAAGAAAACAATCTTGTGTCCTCCCGATGTTTTGAATTGTAATTTTCATAATGAAGGGCCCTTTGCTGCTTTCGGAGCTTGGTTGTTTTCTTGCACGTTTCATTACCCAGGTAAGGAATATCACCAGTGCTAGGACAGCATCCATGCTAGTACTCAAGCTTTACTTACTTGATTAAACAGACATGATATTATTCCGATTAAAATCGGAATTCCGATTTTTTGGCGGACGGGCGGCAGCGCGAGCTGAGCCCGGGGGGGCGGGCGGGCGGCGCGGGCGGTGGGGGTTCTCTTTTTGCCGGCCCCAATTTTTTTTTCAGAGGGGAATATTATGCCTGTTAAAGAACCATCTGGAAGAAAATAACCAAGCTCAGAGAACACCAAGGACACAACAGCTCAAATGTGAGTTATAAATATCCTCTTCCATTGGTAATTGTCAGGCACAATCAACCCATGTGCAAAGAAGTCAATTAGCTACTTTATTACTCAAGCCTATAACATAGGAATCTTCTCAGATTGGCAGTCTGCACCTGGATCAGATTAGATAAGGATAAACAGCATTCAAGGAAGATCAGACTTCACTCATGTACGGATTCCAGACTAGTTCCTTGTTTGATTCCTCTCCCTGGCTCAGCCAGTCTCTTTCCAACAGTAATTCCCTTAATTCTTTCATAACAGTTGAGAATATCAGCATACAGAGAAGTGGGAAGGGGTGTGCTTTTAATTTAATGTGGTTTGTAAATGAGTTTTTTCAGCCCTCCCCTCTGCTAGCTGATGTTTTAACTAGCATTTTCACTTGCAGTTTTGATGTTGCACTAATTGCACTTTGTGGGCCATAAATCTTATGTCACTCAACACTGTACCAACATCTTTCTACAAGGGCTTTTTCTTCCTCTATAGGTCTCTGTGGAATGTTCTGCTTCCCTTGTTTGGCAGGCCAGGTTGCTTCAGATATGAATGAATGTTGTTGCTGTGGTGCAACTGTGGCCATGCGAGCTGTCTACAGGACAAAATACAATATCCCTGTAAGTAGATTACCTTGCCTAGACGAGAGAAACTTCAGTTAAACTCTGATTAAAGCAAAAAACAAAACCCCAAACCCAGAATTTTAAGAAGCACTCGTGAAATTGGAGAGAAATATCAGCTCAGAAACAGGCTGGGGCAACACGCCATAACCAACTTGCTGCAGGATAACTTGTCATGGACAACTCCCCCTTGGACAACTCGCCAAGGGAAAATTCAACAATTCAATCTAATTATTTAAAATAATTTACAAAGTTATTTTAATTTTGATCATTCACATTTCATTTTTTCCCTCCTTTGTCATCTTTTCTTCAATGATACTATTCCATAATCTATTCAATATCAGTGTAATTCTTGTCGCAAGGCAAGTTGTCCTATGGTGAGTTGACCACAATGAGTTGGCCATGGAGAGTTGGATGTGACAAGCTGCCCCAGACCTGCTTAGAAAGGCAGTGCATACACAATCCATAAGTTTGTGGCAAAAGAAAAAAACCTGACCTGGGAAATGAACAGATAATTCTTTCATTTGTTATCTGCAGCAGGCCATAATCTTTCAGAATTATACAGGGGTGGGATTCACCAGTACAGACCGGGTCAGGCGAACTGGTAGTTCCAGCGATGAGTTGGCCCCACCTACCCACCCCTGCGCTAGTCTGCAAAGCGCGTACTCACCGAACCAGTTGTTACTCCGATTGAATCCCATCACCGCACTTATAGAAATGAAAATAAAAATGACACTTGTTCCACACCAAATCTACCTGGCCCACAAAAGGATGTGAAGGCAGAATATGTTACAACTCCCATCCATGAGGGATTGTCATCTGTGGGACCATTAAAAAAAACCTCTCTTCCTGTTGATTTTCTGAAAACAAGGTTTTGTCAGTGGGCTCGAGGACCAGAAATAATCATGTTGTTAACTTGATTGTGTTGTTGCTGCCATTGGCAGAGGGCGGAGTGGATTTTTAAAAAATAGGTTTTCATAAAGTAAATGGATTTCTGTTGTTAAGTGGGACATTAGTTAAATGAGTTTTGCCCAATGTTACAACCTTTCTTGCCATAAGTAGTTAAATGAATCACTGCAGTTGTTAAGTTAGTAATGCTGTTGTTAAGTGAATCTGGCTTCCCCTTTGACTTTGGTTGTCAGAAGGTCACAAAAGGGGATCATATGACCCTGGGACACTGCAAGTGTCCAAAATATGAGCCAGTTGCCAAGCGTCTGAAATTTGATCACATGAAACCTGGGGATATTGCAAAGGTTGTAATTGTGAAAAATGACTGTAAGTCACATTTTTCAGTGCCATTGTAACTCTGAATGGTCACTAATCAAGCTGTTGTAAGTCAAGGACTGCGTGCATTTTGCCATCCAACATACAGTTAGCTTTTTATGATTCCATATCTCTACGTCATAGTTTTATTGAAAAGGTTACGGATTAATTTGGTTTCTTTTCTTTTCAACAGGGATCCATCTGTGGGGATACCTGTATTGTGGGGTGTTGCCCCGTTCTTTCTCTCTGCCAAATCCGGAGAGATATCAAAAGAAGGAAACAAATGGGGATATTCTAGAAGACTTCATCCTAAGCTCCTTTACATTTGCCCTTTTTTCATTAGAATTCTGAGAAGTAAGATGCACTAAAGTAGTTTGTAGGAAGTACCATTATTTAGAAGGTACCCTTGCTTTATAGTTCTAAGCATACTACTCTTAACCCAGAAATTACATTTTTTAGCACTAATTCAGAGCTCAAAATCCACACAAAAACTTGCTCTTCTTTGTCCTGTCCTTGTCTTTGCTTGTTCTTCCCATTTCTTTTAAAATTGAAAACAACATAGTTTACTAGCTAAAGCAATCAGATAACACTAGTTTTTCTTAAGATGGTGCTCGCCACATATGCTGCTTTTGATCTCTTTTAATTCAAAGGTGTGATGGCTGGGAATCACAATAGTTCTAGTCATCCACCTCTGGAGAGCAAGAGCTTTCAGGTAGGTTAGTTATGGCTCATTTTACCTTATATTCTCCAGTTACTACATTTTGCAAACCAAAATCCCCAGTCACTTTAAAACAGGAAGGGGAGAATGGTAGACCCACCGATAAATCTTCAAAGGTCTAGCAGGGTTGGTTTTTTAAATTCTTAATTGTTTAATAGCAGCAGCAACCAAAATGTTTTGTTCTTACTCTCCTACAGTAGCTAATGATACAAACTTTCCTAATGCTGGTGTGCAAAACTGCCAGCCAAGCTGGAGGGAGGAATCAAGTGAGGGCCTAACGTGGAGTCCTTGAGCAGCCACAAGCGTATAAGCTTCACCTCCCATACAATCAACGAAGCCTTATCTGGCTATTCCCATGGGAATACATGCTGTCTGATGAGATTCTTGTAATATAGGATGTAGGCAATATAAAGTTTTGACGTTCATTATTCATTAGTGGCTCCAGATGGTTACACCTGACAGCCTGATACTGTCTGTCCCTTTACACAACTACCATGGAGTTTCATTTCTCTGAGACAGTCATATCTCACAGTAAAATTAAAGCTCCTTTAATTTAAAATTCTTCCCAGGACGATGTGTTCTAGACTACTACATTTATCAACATCAGAACACTGAAGTGGTATGCAGATGTTAAAATTGTATGTTTCCTGAGGTATTCTCCACAAACGGATATAAACGTAGACTGTGCAAACAATGCAATCTTTCGGCAGCCTTAAATATAATAATCTGAATGCTTTCCCTGTTTAGCAACTTGGATGCTTTAGAACTCTGCCTATTTCAGAAATACATGGCCAGAGCCACGTGTGAGAATAACTGATTCATACTTTATATCAGAGGTCTCCAAACTTGGCAACTTAAAAACTTGTGGACTTCAACTCCCAGAATTCTGGGAGTTAAAATCCACACGTCTTAAAAGTTGCCAAGTTTGGGGACCCCTGCTTTATATGATGGCCCAAAAACCCATCTTGCCATTAAGTAATATTGCAATTAATTTTGGAAAAAGACAGTCTGGAAAATACTACAGTTTGCTCGATTATATTGAATTTGCCATTTTGTATGGAGAATTTGCCAAGAAATTAATAAAAACACTAACCCTAACCCTTGTGTTTCTTATCTCACATTTTGCATGTTTCAAATATTATTCTAATCTATGGAAAAGCAGTATGTGTTATTTCTTTAGGCTGTTTTTATGGTGTAATGGTTGTTTTATTTTATTAACCTAAAGGCTAAGATTTTCATCGTATATATAAAGTGGGCCAGGACAATATGGATACATCTTGTATTTTTGTACTGGAATTCTACAAATAACGTAAATAGATAGAAATGTCACTCTTACTTAGCATTTGCCCTGGCTTTCTAGCAACACAATGGAAAGATTGAACAATGTGATTCTGTGGGGGGTTTTTTAATTCCCTTTGAGTCAACGTTGGATCTTGGCAACTGTCTTCAGAAATGGTTTGTCCTTGCCCTCCTCCTTGGAGCTCAGAGGTCTGACTGGCAAGCCAGCTTTGTGCCTAAGGCAAGAGTAGAATTCAGTCTGGTTTCTAGCATGTTGCCTTAATCAGTAAAGGTGAAGTTTCCCCCCGTGCTAATTGTTTCTGGCTCTAGGGGGCAGTGCTCATCTCCGTTACAAAGCTGAAAAGCCAGCTCTGTCCGAAGACTTCTCCGTGGTCATGTGGCTGGCATGACTAAACGCCAAAGGCGCACGGAACGCTGTTAGCTCCCCACTAAAATAGTCCCTATTTTTCCACTTGCGTTTTTAAATGCCTTTGAACTGCTAGGTTGGTAGAAGCTGGGACAAGTAATGGGAGCTCACTCTGTTACTTGGCACTAGGGATTCGAGCTGACTTTTCTGATCGACAAGCTCAACGTCTTAACCACTGAGCCACTGCGTCCCTTTTGCCTTAATAATTGCATAGTTCTAAATTATTCTGTGTAGAATCACAATGGAAAGAATGAACAATATGATGATGTGGTTTTTGTTTTAATTCCCTTCAAGTCAACGTTGGCTCTTGGCAGCTGTCTGAACCAGCTCCTCCAATTTTCTTGACAACTTTTTCAGAAATGGTTTGTCCTTGCCGCCTCCTTGGGGCTCAGAGGTCTGACTGGCCAGCGAGCTTTGTGCCTAAGGCAGGACTAGAATTCACAGTCTCCTGGTTTCTAGCATGTTGCCTTAATCGTTACATAGTTCTTCTGCATAGGAAAAGTTTGAAGAGTTGCTTAACTGAATCCTTTTCACTTATGCATCTTTTACAATGTGTGTTTTTCTAATTTTTTGTTTCATTGTTCTTAAGTATTTTTCCTTCAAGGCAAACAACATTATGCCAAGTTCAAAAAGACTTGAGAAATAGCAAGCCAAATGAACTAAGGTTAGAAAAAGCAAAAAGCAGATAGAATTTAAATCTTGTTTATACCATTACAGGATCCTTCCATCTTCCACCCTGATCCTACCTTCATTTATATCCTGGCTTTTGTTCTTTGAACTTCTGTTTTTTGTGAGGATCTAATCAATTCCGCCTGTGAGAAATGCCCCCACCAGTCAGAAATTGGGCAGTCATTCAGGGAAGCGGGAAGCAGTGTATTGTAAAATACTTTGCAAGACCTGGGTGGCAATTGTTGGAAGAAATATCCTTCTGGGTTCAGTTCCAAGTGGAGAAAGACACTGGATTCATGGAAGTTGCTTGGAAGGATGGTTTTAATGGTGGACAGGACCACATGCCTTGGAGCTCCTGAGTGAAAAGGGAAGAGATGCTGAGAGTCCCTGGGTTTTATGCCCTCTCTGGGCTTTGAACTTCCTTCCTGTTCCTGTGGTAAGAAATGTGTCCTGATTGGTTGTCAGACTTCCTTGGGGCCATGCAGGGGTAGCTTGGTGATGCAGTCTTCCCAGGTGCCAAGTGGTGAGGTGGGTAGAGGGCGAATCCTATCATGCCCTGATCCCAACACCTTGGTGCTAAAGGCGGGGGGGCGGGGAGCTGCTTAGTCTTTAAATATATGTTTCTCCTTTTCTCCAGGGAAACATAATATTCTGCCTTTTTCATATTTACTAGAAATCAGAAAATAAAATACAAGCTGAATAGTCAAGACCTTGATGGTCCAAACTCTGTCAAGGACCTTGGAGTACTCATCTCTAATGACCTAAGTGCTGGAGCCCACTGTAACTACATAGCCAAAAAGGCATTAAGAGTTGTTAACCTAAGAGCATACAAAACATTTGCTAGACCAATACTCGAATACAGCTCATCAGTCTGGAACCCACATTACGTATCTGATATTAGCACAGTTGAAAAAGTCCAGAAATATTTCACAAGAAGAGTTCTCCACTCCTCTACTCGTTGCAGAATACCTTATGCCACCAGACTTGAAATTCTAGACCTAGAAAACCTAGAATTACGCCGCCTTCGGACCGATCTAAGTATAGTATATAAATTCATACATTGCAATGTCCTACCTGTCAATGAACACTTCAGCTTCAACCATAATAATAAAAGAGCACACAATTGATACAAACTCAAAGTAAACAGCACCAAACTTGATTGCAGGAAATACGACTTCAGCAACAGAGTGGTCAATGTCTGGAATACTCTACCTGACTCTGTGGTTTCTTCCCCAAACCCCAAAAACTTTAACCTTAGACTGTCTACAATTGACCTCACCCCTTTCCTAAGAGGTCTGTATAAGCGCACCAATGTGCCTACCGTCCCTGTCCTATTGTTTCTTTTTATTTTTCTTATATGTATCCATTTCATGTATTTATGTTTATACTTACACCTGTTATAATTGCTTGACAAAAAAATAAATAAATAAATAAATATTTATTTCTTCTAGGAGAGAGGTGGGTACTAACTTCCTACTTTAGTAAAGTAAGAACACCCAAAAATAGATTTCAACAGGATTTAATTCCTGCAGTCCAAAGTGCAAATTATTTCACAATCTTTCCAGAACCTCTAGTTCCCTCTTTTTGGAATTACCCTACCTTTACAGTCCTTTGAGGTGTTTTTTTTTTTTTTTTACTATTAGCAATACATGTAATTTTGCTTAAATCCTACTGTTGTTAGAATTATCCTTCTAAGTTCAGTTCCAAGTGGGGAAAGAGACACTGGAAACATGGAGGCTATTTGGAAAGATGGTTTAATGGTGGACAGGAGGACCACATGGCTTGAAGCTCCAAAGAAGGATGATCACATGCTCCAAGGTGAAGGAGAAGAGAAGGGAGGCCAAGATGCTGAGAGACCTTTATATACCCTCTGTTGGGCCCCATCTTAGTGTTTCCTATTCTTGTGCAAGAAATGTATCCCATTGGCTGTCAGATTCCAAGGGGCAGGGGTCTTAACTAACTTTGTAGGCTTTGTCTGGACCACATGGCTTCACCTGAGTGTTGGCTGATGCAATCTTCCCAGGCAGATGGGTAGAGGCCTTTATTATGTAGAATACTCTCGCCTCGGCCTTAATGGGCCATTAGCAAAGGTGGGGAACTGAGTTTCTGCCTCTCTGGGGTGAGTTTCTGCTTCTGAGTTTCTACTCTTTTTAGGGGAAATATTCTGCCTTTTTAATATTTCCCAATATATTTCATTTTTATAGGAGAGGGGTGGGTGCTAACTTCCTACACTACCTTATAATTCTAAGTCCTATTACATTTCTTAGTACTGGTCCCTTCAGGCATATGATTCCTGTGAAAACAACATTTAGCTAGTGTTGCTCATCTTACACGCCCAACAACCCTCCTTTTCTTTTTCTCACATCAATTCTACCTTCATTTGGTCATTGTGCAATTTGATTCACAACTGTGATCAGAGGTTGTTGGAAAGGTCAGAAATAGTGAGGGATCTGCTATTTGACTCCTAGAATTGGAAGTGGGAAAAAGGCAGAAATATCAGAATTGTTTCTAAAGATGGGGCAAGGAACAATCAATTTAAAGATAATTTCTAAGGATTCCCAATCATTACATCTCATGGTTTCTTCTAAACCAAGTTTCGTTTCTTCTCCTAGGATCTCTTTTGAGTTTCATTTTTTTTGCTTTCTTAAAAAAGACACACACCTGGCTGAAACAAAAATCACTTCCTCGTTTGAAAAAACTATCCAGCAAATTATTTAGAAGGGTATTTCCCCTTCAGTTTTAAAACACAAAAGCGAGAGGCCATTGGGCAGAATTTATTGCAGCTCTGCAACAAGAAGCCAAACGAGGAAGAAAAGAAGAAAAGGTTTGAAATCTTGCTTTCTTTGAAATCTTTCTGTCTTTTTTGGTATTTATTCTAAACTAATAAAGTTTTCTGAGTTTTTAGCTGGATCCAATTGAGTTGTTGAAAGACCGTCTTGTGACATTCAGTATTATATTGCAGAATCTGAATCCTCATTTTTTAAACTTGGGGGAAAATAATAATGGATTCCTAAAGGAACACAGATATAAAGATTATCATTTTTGCAGAAGAAGGCTAAGAAGTGACTAGGGTAAATTAAGTGTTTCATTTTGAATCCCCCCCCTTCACATCTCCTTAATGCCTAAGTTTTTGAAATGCTTATTTTTATTTATTGAATATTCGTGCTGCCTATTTAAATATCTATACTGTATTTAAAGGGGAGAAACAAGAATGGAATGGAATGGAATAGAATGGAATGGGAGTAGGAGTAGAATAGAATAGACAATAACATAGAAAACAGAGTACAA